AGTTCGTCATCGAGTGTTTAAAGCGTCAGTACGTGTAACGTGTGTTTTTATTCATACGTTCACACAGGTACAGGTTTAAGGGGCAGGCAGTAAATAATCCAAGCGATGACGGGAAGAAGTGAAACGTTAGTCCAGGATACAGAAAAACAGGGCTGAACAGACGAACACACAAAAACAGACAGGAAACACAGACAGTGGCAGACAAACTTCAAAATAAAACAGGAAAATACAAAAACCCCAAAAACATTTCTTTTTTTTTTTTTTGGTTATTTTAAGGCCGCTTCATTGTTCCGCTCTCTGCGTCGTGCGGCCGTTCTAGTGATGCCAGGAGACGAGGAGGCGCTCAGTGCGACCTCCTCCCTCGCCTGCTTCACCTGGTGGAGCTTTGGTGCCATAGATGATCTACTCACATGTTTAAACTTCACACAGCAGCAGATCTTCACCTGACAACCGTTGGCAAATCCGCCATTAAAACAGCAATACGCCCAGGTACAAGCACACCTGGCGTTTAAAGGGAGATGCTGATTGGTTTATTGCGTGTTATGCCCAAAACGCACCCGCGACTAATTCACAGACAACCCTTTTGAACAATGCGCCTGGCGTACGGACCATTTTTTCCGCTGTTAAACCAGCAGAATTGCGGTTGGACACGCCCTAAACACAGCTACGCCCTGCGGTGCACGCCGCACGCTTAAATCTTTAAAATAGGGCCGTTAGAGCACCAGTATCCACGACAAACCTGACGGACAGATATGATTGTTGGATTATCAGAATGGTCATTGATTAATATTCATATTATCTCTCAATTAATCAACAAGTCATTTCACAGCCAGACGTGAAGATAAACAGGAAACCGGAGTGTGTGTGTGTGTGTGTGTGTGTGTGTGTGTGTGTGTGTGTGTTGCTCAGTGACCCGTTCAGCAGGGCATATGTTGGTTGGCAGCGTGCACGTGGACTCGTGCACGAGCACATTGTACAGAGAGGGAGGGAAGAGAGAGCGCGGTAGACGACAGAGAGGGTTGATAACCATCTGCATGTGTGTGGCGGCGTGCCAGAGCCTTTACCCACAAACCACCTGGTCACACCACCAGGATCAGTGTGTGTGTGTGTGTGTGTGTGTGTGTCTCTCTCTCTGCTGCCAATAGCTTTGTTTGGTGTGTGTTTGTGTGTTGGCTCGCCCTGCACGCTGTAAAAATTCACAATTTAATGAAATCTGTTGATATTTAATTTTCAGCTCGCTGATTTTAAATGAATTTAAATATCAAACGTCTCAGCCGACACTGACGGACATTTTTTCTTGTTCAGTTGGGAAAAAAATCGGATCCCAAATTTGATGTTTCTTTGGCAAAAACTAGTTTTAAAAACACAGTTTCATCAGCTTGTGTTTATTACACCTACACTACAGCCTAAACAATAAAACTACGTCAGAACAGTAATATAGTAAATGACATTTATAACTCAAACTAAATTATTACATTATTATATTATTATTATTAATTATTACATTTATTGAAGAATACACATTTGTCTGTCTTCAAGATTAAAACTCTTGTTTGTACTAATTTATTTCAGCTTTCAAACTCCCTCCACTGATGGGGAGGCAGAAATCTGTGAGGAAGGAAGAGGATTAGGGCCACATGTGAAAAATGGATTTGGAGTTTAAAGTCAGAAATATAATTTTAATCTCAGTATTATGACTTTTCTGACTTTATTTTTAAGCAAAGGTTTAATTTGAGTTCCGACTAAAATATTTTTTTCACATGTTGCCTTAATCCTCTTCCGTAGTCGAGGACGTTACATGTAGATCCTTCCTCCTTTCTTATTGGCCTTTGCAGGCGAGTTGAAGCTGTGACGCTGGATGCAGGACGAAGAACAAACAAAATGTTAAACCAGCAACTTTAATCGCATCACACATTATATATATATATATATATATATATTTTACACACATTGTTCAAGGTTAGATTGTTTTGGATTAATGGGAGAAAAAAACTTAAAAATAATTTAATAAATATTTATTTAATCACAGAACTTTCCAAACACTCTGTTCACCAACGACGTGCACGCTGTTAAATTATGACCCAAACTTCTTCCTGGTGATCTTCCGCTCTGCCTTCATCGCCAGGTTCCTTAAGAAGCAGGTAACTCGGTGACACAGGTGGGACTTCACGTCTCGCCTGCTGAGTGTTTGTTATGAAGCGAGCAGCTTCACTTTGGTGCCGTATGAAGCTCCTCCCCCTCTGTGTGGAAAGGAAATACTCTTCTTCTGTGGTTTCTGCTCTCTCTCTCTCTCTTTCTGCTGCAGTCTGGGTAATCCATACAGCTGAGGGATGGACAAACCGTACGCACAAACACACACACACACTGTGATTAATGGCACCAGAGTCTATAGCAGATTATGGTGAAATCACTACAGATAAAGCACTGCAGAGTGTGTGTGTGTGTGTGCGTGTTATTATCTGAGCCAGACATCCGTTCCTGCTCAGCCAGAGAGAGAAAAAAGGGGGAGTAACATGGGGGTGAGGAGAGAGAGAGAGATAGAAAATGGCGATAAAGTTTCCAAAACACAGAAACCAGCCAATCAGCAATCAGAGTTACTCCTTCATCCGTCCCTCCTCATCCTCATCATCTCTTCATACAAAGTGTCAGGACTGAAATCTGATCGGCCGGTCGTCGTGTCAGAGTCAGTTATTTATTTTTTTGAGTGTTTTTTTTGCTGAAACATGAGATTAAAAATCTCAGCAGCTCTCTGAGTAATCAATAATTTATCAGTATCGATCAACCTGCAGATGAGGGAGGATGGCGGGAAGGAGGAGATGAGGAAGGAAGTAGAAAGAAAAAGGGAAACGGTGGGGAAAGGGAGGAAGGAAGAGAGACAAAGGAGGGAGAGAGGAAGAAGGAAGGAAGGGTGCAAGGGATAAAGAAGGAAGGGATCAAGGAAGGAATTTTAAAGAAAAAGGGAACAGATGGAGGGGGTAAAGAAGGAAGGAAGAGAGACAAAGGGGGGGAGAGGAGAAGGAAGGAAGTAGGGAGGGAAAGGACAAAGAATAGAGAAAGTGAGGAAGGACAGAAGCAAGGAAGGAAGTCGAGGACAGAGGAAGGAAGGGAGGAAGGGAGGAAAGAAAAAGGGAAGAGAAGGAGGAGTGAGGGGGTAAGGGAGGAAGTGAAGAACGGAGGAAGGAAGAGACAAAGGAGGGAGAGAAGGAGGAAGAAAGGAAGGGCGCGAGGGACAAAGGAAGGAAAGAAGGAATAGAGAAAGTGAGGAAGGACAAAAGCAAGAAAGAGATCAAGGAAGGAAGTCGAGGAAAGATAAAGAGAAGAGAGGGAGGAGCGATGGGGTAAAGGAGGAAGGGAGAAAGGAAGAGAGACAAAGGAGGGAGAGAAGAAAGATAGGGTGAGATGGACAAAGGGAGGAAAGAAGGAATAGAGGATGTGAGGAAGGGATCAAGGAAGGGAAAGACAGAGGTGAAAGGATGTAAGCGAGGAAAGAAGAAAAGAAGGCATAAAGGAGTGAGAGAAGAAAGGAGGAAGGAAGGGTGCAAGGGACAAAGAAGGAAGGGATCAAGGAAGGACGTGGAAAGAAAAAGGGAAGAGACGGAGGAGCGAGGAGCTAAAGGAGGAAGGGAACAAGGGAGGAAGGAAGGGTGCAAGGGACAAAGAAGGAAAGGATCAAGGAAGGACGTGGAAAGAAAAAGGGAAGAAACGGAGGAGCGAGGAGGTAAAGGAGGAAGGGAACAAGGGAGGAAGTGATAGATGAGAGGAGGCTAGAAGGCGAGGTAGGGAGGATGAACTGTAGGTAGGAAGGAAGGAGAGAAGAAGAAATGTGCAGATGAAGTGAGGAAAGAAGGAGAAAAGGAAGGAAAGAAGGAAGAAGAAGAGGAAACTGAAACAAGAGTTACGATAACTGACTTATCTTCTTCTTCTTCAGTTTGTGATGTTGACTCCAACACACACACATGCAGACTGAGGTGTGTGTGTGTGTGTGTGTGTGTGTGTGTGTGTGTGTGCGCTATCATCCATTAGAGAGCTATAATTATGGTAAGTGAGGCAGAGCGCCGATCAATACAGCAATTCATCAACCTGACCCCGCCCACCAAAAAACACTATTTCAATCTGACCAAAGTCCAGATGTAACCGCTGACCACACACACAGTTTAACCAAAGTACCTTCAGTTTGTGTCGCCCGCAGAAGTAAAATAAAAACAACGGCTTTTTATTCTTTAAGGTTTTTCACTTTAAGATCAATAAACCTTCAGCTCACGGAGACGGATGTTACCGTAGCGGCGATGAAACGAACAGGTCGGCAGCCTGAACTCTGATGGAGTTTCTCACAGGGTGAACAGGTCACATGGACTCTGATCTTCCGCACTTCAGATTTGAGCCACTTTCACATTTATTTGTCTCTAATCTAACAGGTTATATAATGAAAGTGAGTTTGGAACTCCCGTCTGCTACGTAGCAGAAAATATACATTAAAATAGAAGCAATTATAAAACAACCTATCATCTCTAACCATGTTTCCATCTAGTTTTAAGCGGACTTTTGAAATGTTGCTGTGAAATAAAAACTGTGAATTCTGTGCGCTTGGAGCCAGGCTGCGGCGAGCGTAGTTACGTCAGTAGTTGACGTTACACAGGGCTGTAATAAACCAGGAACGAAACCAGTCGCAGGAACCTGACGGCCGCTGATCTGAGAAAAATGGAGAGAAGTCCTCAGAAATCTGTTTCAAGCGGGCACGTTGCTACCAGCCATGTCTCCGCACGTCATGGGTATATCCGGTGTTACGCCGAGTTTTGCGTGCCTGCCAAGAATTTCACGCACCTCCAGATTCTGCTTTTAAACACTATAATGTCCTTTGTGTCGTTCATCAACGGTGATTACATTTATTCATTTAGCTGACGCTTTTATCCAGAGCGACTTACAATTGCTACACATGTCAGAGGTCGCACGCCTCCGGAGCAACGAGGGGTTAAGTGTCTCGCTCAGGGACACATTGGCGGTTCACGGCGGGGGATTGAACCCGGGTCTACAACACCAAAGGCATGTGTCTTATCCACTGCACCACCCACCCCAGTGATAAATGATTCGAAGTATATATTTTATGAACGTTTTATTGCACTCAGTAGAAGCAGCATTCACTGAGACCGAGATGCTCTGCAGACTCCTTCCCAGAAGGCAGCAGGGTGAACAGGCTGTGGCTGGGTGGGTTCTGTCCTTTAGGATCCTTTGGGCTCTGCGTTATAAATATATGTCAGCCCACGTCCGGGGCCGTGCGCATCCCATGTTGGTGATGCTTTCTGTTGCTCCTCTGTAAAAGCTGACAGGAACTTGGCGTGGGAATTTAATCTTCTTAAGAAGATTCCTCAAGAAATCCTGAAGTCGTTTCTGAGCTTTCTTCAGCAGCGTGATGCTGATTCCCAGGAACCTGAAACTGTTGACCTGCTCCACCTCAGCTCCTCTGATGGTGACAGGAGTTCGTGCAACATCACTGTAGAGCGACCGTCTTTACAATTCTGCGCTCGACGGAGCCGCAGTGAACCGAAAAGCTCCACAAAAAGCCAGATTTAAACACGTGGCCCTCTTCTGCTCGTCCTCGCTTTCATCTGCTCACAGATTCCCTTTCTTCCACCTGAAATCCAGCGGGTCACCTGCATGCTGCCTGTCCGAGCGGAAACAGCAGAGAGAGAGAGCGCTGTGGGGCGGATGTGTTGCTCAGAGTCAGAAACTGTAATGAATGTAATGAAAAGCACAGAAATTTGTGAATAAATCAGGAGAAATGTGACGCTAACCTCTGTGGCTCCATGTTGACTTCTGTACGACAGCGTGCTGCGTGTGACGTCGTTTATTCTTCTTCTAGTTCTCAGGGCCGCATTTAAACAATAACGTGACCTGTCAATCAAAACATCTGGGCAAGTAAAGCCTGCAGGGTGAACATAGTCATGGACGTGGTTTTGGAAAACGGTCTTACCCTATTTTGGCGTCCAGATATGAGGACGTGTTGCAGCATGCGGCTCAGCTGACATTTTCTTGTCCTGTCGTCTCGCCGCTAATAGCAAACAGTTGCAGACACATTAAAACACTTCACCTGAAGCTGGTAAACCGTTTGTTTGAAGGCTGCTGGTGTTTGTCTATATTTTTATAGAACACGATGAAAACGGAACGATCGTCTCCGTCTTTAACTCAACATTTTGGGATCTTACATATCAGTCAGTGCCTTCTTTAAACATGTGTGCTGCTCTTTCTTCCTGTTTAGCTGCTTCGCCCCGATGATAATCTCCAGCCCAGAGGTCGGAGGTCAAACACATTTATATTTATACACCAGGTTACTGGCTGGTTTCCAGTCGAACTCGCTGGAGCCTCTGCAGAGCTGCAGAGACGCCGACAGATTAGCTGCAGATTTTAATGGGCTTGGAAGGTTCCTGGAAGGTTTTTGGAGGGTTTTGGAGTGTGTGTGTGCACGCGTGTGTGTGTGTGCTTGTGTGTGTGCGTGTGGTGGATGGCTGGTGATGGCACTGGCCCTCTTTTGTTCTGGCAGAAGGTGGCGAATGGCAGCCGCTCAAAGAAAACAGACAGAAGCTTCAAAATGGTTGCCAACGCTTTAAGATGGCTGCCAGGCTGGAGAGAGACAGAGAGAGGGCAACAACACACACACACACACACACACACACACACACACACACACGTGCACAAAGACACACACACGCACACACCTATGCATATATACACACACAGGCCGGGGCATAGGGGCAAGTGTTAGTGTGTGTTTATGATCGAAAATGTGAAGAAATCTGTGTGTGTGTGTGTGTGTGTGTGTGTGTGTGTGTGTGTTGCAGTTGGCAGCGACTCCTTGGCAGTGGCGGCTGGTTGGGCGTCCAACAATGGAGACGGCTAACGGGATTCTCTCTCTCTTTTTTTTAAAAACACTGTCGGATGGGAGAGAGACATAAACTACAAACAGAGAAAAAGAGAGAGAGAGAGAGAGATTGGCCTTCTTTTTAAAATGGCAGCAGCGTCTTGGCAGCGGCGTCTCGTCGACACAAAGCCTCGTCTGCCTCGTCTGTTTGTGCGCTTTTTTATTTCATAATTAATGGAACACAAATAAAACGGCGGAACACACAGCGAGTGTTTCGGTCGCAGCATCGGCGTTCGATCCGTCCTGAACGTGTTGAATTATAGTCTCTTTTTTTATTTTGTGGCAAATATTTAGGGGTCTTCAACAAAATGGCGGCTGGTGGGCGGCGTCAAAACGGAGGCCTGGGGTGTCCAGTCATTCAGAAGGGATAAAAAGATCAATTTAATGTGAAGGAAAAGATTTTGTGTGTCTGTATCTGTGGTAATTCAACAACAAAAGAAAATTTGGCTTTTATTTTGGCGAGGCACATCAGGGGCAAAAAGAAGTGTGTGTGTGTGTGTGTGTGTGTGTGTGTGTGTGTGTGTGTGTGTGTGTGTGTGTGTGTGTGTGTGTGTGTGTTTGGCTGGCTGGTGGACCCGGCGGTGCAGCCGTGCCAGGGTTCATGATGCCAGGAAACGCTGCCTGGAAATACAAAACAAACGCACCTCCTCCTCCTCCTGCCTCTGAAACATCACCTTTATTTCCCTATTTCATCTTTTATTTTGTGAAGTGCGTGTTTTAGCAGATGTGTTTATATTTGGGTTTGTGGGGAGACGAGCGGCAGAATTAATATATTTTTAGCTGTAAAAGACGTATTGGTAAATTATTAATGCTATAAAGTTTGGCAACAAACCTGTCTGCGTTCATAAGACAGATGCATGCACGGGTGGATAAATTGTTAATTTGATCTCATGCAGTGACGTTTGAGCGTCACAGCAGCAAAAGGAAATACAACAACCAAGTGTACACAAAGTTTAATGTGAGAATACTGTGTATAGAGCATGAAGGAGTGACACGCAGACTAGTGGGAAAAGATATTAATCTGAAATATGTTCTTATTTCATAGTTGGTAAGTAAATAAATGAAGGATGATTATGAAAGATTATCAAAAGATTATAGATTTTTCATTTTCTGTGCAGAAGATGAATTATTTTAAAAGAGATTTTATGTGTGTGTGTGTATATATATGTATATTTTAAACCAAGTGCACCTTCTTTTATACATTTTCTAAAATAGAATTTAATGTTATTTAAAGTGATTTAATTGTTGTTTTGTTTAAGCTAACAGAAACACAGATCAGCGTTTCTTAAAGCAGTTTATTTCAGAAGCATGTTTTTGTTCTGTTCAAATGCTCCGACACAAACATGACAATAATCCGGTGTCTGTCGGGTCCACCGTTTCATTCAGACCCAGCGAACTGATTGGCTGGCCCACCTGCAGCGCTGCCTCCTCCAGCTTTACCTTTTCTTTTTGTATATTTTTAACAGCAGTTCTGTGTTTAAACGTCCGTCCGGTCATTTCCGACCTTATAGATTAAACGATATTCACAAAATAAGAAGTTTTCTGCGTTTGACAGCTGATCAGAACGTGAAGCCAAAAGGTTCGTTTCATCCTGTAACCAAGTAATAACTCAGATTGATATATGAGACCTGCCAATCACTGTGGGAGAGACGTCCTCCTCCAATCACTGCGGACGGTGGGTGGGGCTTCACTTTGTGTGCGTGTGCAGCAGAATAAGCCTAAAGTGAATTTATCCTGAGTGAGATGAAGGGAGGTAGACGCAGCTGATTTGTGGCCTTTATGAAAATGAATTCATGCATCTCTTCATTTCATTAAAAGCTAAATCAGAGCGCGTCGCTGCTCAGATCGATACCGAGGACGAGGGTGTGTTTGTTTTTGTTTTGTACTGCTCAGACCCGAGTGGGCGTGTGTGTGTGTGTGTGTGTGTGTGTGTGTGTGTGTGGGCGGGAAAACTCTGCATCCATGTTCTCACTTCGGATCAAACAGCTCTTTCAGAAACAAAACATCTCGTCTCCACGCTGAGCTTTTGGAAACGTGTTTGAAGCTCTGTGGCAGCTTACAGCCTCTCTCTCTTTTTTATTTTCTCTGTATACTTGGCAGGTCTCTCGCCCGAGTCAATGGTCAGCCTCACTCAGCCAAACATACAGGAAAAAAAGAGAAAGATCTTGGCCGCCAAAACAGTCGACTGTTTCTTTTTTTGTTGTCTTTGCGCCTGTCGCTCTGCCAAGAGACAACGACACCATCTCAGTCTGACTCGCCCAGAGAGAGGGAGAGAGAGAGAGGATGGATCTGTATACATTTCAAAATAAACACCTGAGATTCAGAAATAGGAAAGTGAGACGAGTATGTGTGGGGTGGTTTTGGCTTATTTTGTTGACGCCGGCGGCCATATTGTGGTAGAGTCTTGGCTCAGGATGGCGCCCTGTTCTGTGTCTGCAGTGCTGTTGAGTCGATGAGCGTGCCATGCAAAGCGGAAATTTCAGTGTTTTCCCCAGGTGTGTGAAAAGAAGAAAATTTTACAATTTCAAGTAAAATAAAAATGCAATTTCACATAATTTTAGCCCATTATTATATTATTATTATTATTATTATTATTATTATTATTATTATTATTATTATTATTATTATTATTATTATTATTATGACCATATCTGTGAACAAACGGTTGGAAAACTGGAGCAGATTATAAATAAACAAATAACTTAAAGAAAGCTTAAGGACTAAACTTGCAGAGGATGTTTACTGGGAAGATTTTACATTCATGGCAAAATGTTTCTTTGTCAAGTGTGCACACCAGGGATGGAAATCAACACCCACCACCCGCCAAATGCGGGTGGGTTTTCCGTTTGGCGGCCAAATGTTGGAAGGCTACCCGTCAATGTGGCGGGTAAATATATTCATATAATTTCTGTTTGACGGTAATTAGCAGCAGACCGGCGTTCTTGTTGGTTTTGTGTCACATTTAAATTGGTCCGTGATGTACCAAGGGATCTAAAATCGTGTAACACAGATGAGGGGCGTTCATTGTTGTTGTTTATGTTCTTTTCGGGTTACTTGTGTTTGATTGGCGTAGATTTGTAAGGGGGAGGGCGTTAGGGGACAAGCGACAGGAGGGGACAGTGAGAGTGTAGCCGCTTTCATCCGGAGATCAGCGCGGAAAGAATATCTGCATTTAGGTCATACTGAACAAAGTTTGCAGCTTTATCCCGCAACCATGTGTTTTACAGGAAGCAGCGGCGTGCCGGCTGTGGCTTTTCACAAACAGATCGTTCCCTCTTTCTGTCTCGTGTCTCTCACCAACTTTCCTGCTCAGAGGCGAATAAAATCTGCTCCAGACCTTTCGGAAAGTGCAGCAAGACAGCGGATTGGCGCACTACCAAATAAGGCAGCGTGAAATCTGCGAGTGTTTGGAGATGATTACAGAAGTTGTACTCATGAGTGTTTTTAGCTTTTAGCTGGTAGTTGGCTCTGTCAGATCCAGGGCTCTGTCAGATCCAGGGCTCTGTCAGAACCAGGACTCTGTCAGAACCAGGGCTCTGTCAGATCCAGGGCTCTGTCAGATCCAGGACTCTGTCAGAACCAGGACTCTGTCAGAACCAGGGCTCTGTTAGATCCAGGGCTCTGTCAGATCCAGGGCTCTGTCAGATCCAGGACTCTGTCAGAACCAGGACTCTGTCAGATCCAGGGCTCTGTCAGAACCAGGGCTCTGTCAGATCCAGGGCTCTGTCAGATCCAGGACTCTGTCAGATCCAGGACTCTGTCAGAACCAGGGCTCTGTCAGATCCAGGGCTCTGTCAGATCCAGGACTCTGTCAGAACCAGGACTCTGTCAGATCCAGGAGGCCAGATGAGGGATGATTATAGAAAGCGAGCAGTCTGATGAGGAGGTTTAAGTTGAATGATTAATAAGCATCTTGTAAGTTTATAAAACAATTTATTGTTCTGTTGTAAGTACATTTAATAGCAATAATATAATTTGGCCTTGGCAAAGGATGCCATTTAATAAAAAAATATCCCTTTACATGCAGAACGGGTTTTACCATACATCATGGTGTGTATTATTTTAATTAAATACTGCGAAATATACTTTATGTTCCATTTGTAGTTTATGTTTTACCATTTACGACGTGCGCTTCCATGGGAGCTGCCGATGTAGTGTGGCGTCGTTCGGCTGTTTCTCGTGACGTCCGGTGACATATATTTATTTACTTTTTGGGAATCGTCCAACTTTGACGCTCTTGTCTTGCGAAGGGGTTAACAAATGAACAAACGTACCTGAGGGGGGCGGACCTGAAGAGTAATCACTCGAAGTTTGAAGGTGGTCCGGTGTGGACTAGACCTGCAACGAATAGTCGATTAAACGATTAGTTGTCAACTACTAAATTAATCACCAGCTATTTTTGAGGACCGATTAATCGCTTTGAGTCCTTTTTTAAAGAAAAAACATCCAAATTCTCCGATTCCAGCTTCTTATTTTCTGGTTTCTTTGCTCCTCGGTGACAGTAAACTGACTGTTTGGCTTGTGGACAAAGTGAGACATTTGAGGACGTCACCTCAGGCTTCCGGAAACACAGATGGACTTTTGTTGACCAAACGACTAATCATAAAAATGATCGACAGATTAATCGATAATGAAAAGAATGGTCAGTTGCAGCCCCGTTGTGTAATTTTATCAAATATATTTATTTGTTTCAAAAGAAAAAAAAGGGAAATAGAGAAAAAGAAAGGGGGTCAAAGGTCAGTGAGGGAGAGAGAAAGGTAGAGAGACACAGGGAGTGAACTGATAGTGACTGTTAAGCTGAGCCACACCATTCCTCTCTCTCTCTCTCTCTCTCTCTCTCTTTTCTGCCTTTCTGGGAATCGCCCAGTAGCTCGTCCCCCCCTCCCTCCCTCTCTCCTTTCCTAGAAAACCGTCAGTTCATGTTAGAGAGCGAGCGAGCGAGCGAGCGACCTCCAGGGCCACAGAGTTTGACTTTCCCACAGAGAGAGAGACCTCTGCCCTCTCTCTCTCTCTCTCTCTCTCTTCTTGGTCTCATTCTTTTCTTCTAAACGCTCTAATGTGTGTGTTTGTGTTGTTGTTTTGTTTATTTCCACGGCCTCTTACAGACGAAGGCCTGAAGAGGAAAAAGAGAATAAAAGCGTGGATGGCAGCAGTTTGTGTTTCTAAATGGAGGCTTTTATTTTGAAGCCTGTGACTGAGAGAGAGGTTTTTATAGAATTGCAAGGAGAAGAAAACTTTTCAAAACAAAAGTACGGATGGCTGGATGGAGGCAACTTTAGGTTTTTTAAAAGAGACTTTAATTTTGTAGCACGACAGAGAGGAAGTGGCGAAAAGAAATAAACAGCTCAGTTTACAGCACTTCCACAAATCAAAGCACGCAACTTGTGTCTGTTTCGAAAATGCAGGCTTTTATTTTGAAGCCTGTGTTAGAGCGAGAGAAGAGAAAATGGGGGAGGGGGGGGCTTTATACAGCGACTTTTTATTTTGACACCTGTGACTGAGACAGTAGAGGTGGAGCTCATTCCCAGTTTGTATACTGGTTTCACTGGGTTGTTGCTTTTATTGGACCCCCCCTTTCCACCCCCCCTCTCCGCCTGCTGGGGGGGGGCAGACAGTCCAGTCTGCTCCCACGCCTCATTAGCATATTTAATTAACCTGGACGAGGAGGGGAGGGGTGACGGCTGAATGAGGCGATGGAAGGGTGATGGGGTAGGGGGGCAGTGTGTGAAAGTGCCCTCCAACACACACACACACATCAGCAGCACCCCCCCTCACCCCACACCCCCTGATTGCCATGGTTTCAGCCTGATGCTCTTTGTTTTAAGCTGCTGAAGCAAACAGACACAGTGAACAGCATGCAAAACAAGGCTGATAAATACGCACTTTGTCTCAGTGTGTGTGGAGTGGTGGGGGGTGGGGGGGGAGGGGCTCTCGCTGCAAAAGGTTTTTAGAAATTTAATTAAACGTTCGAACAATATAACCTTGCAGCAAAAACGTTTTGAGCACAAAATCTGTAACGTCTCGTGATAATGCCGTTAAAAACGACATGGAAATGTTTGTTTCACCGACAAGAAAGCACCTGGTCAGAGTGTTAAAGGTCCAGTGTGTAATATTTAGGAGAATCTATTGACAGAAATGCAATATAACATCCATAACTATGTTTTCAGAGAAGAACTTTTCCTTTAAATGTGGGTTTAACATGAGCAGCTGCAGAAGAAAATAATAATAATAGAATAAGTTCATAACCAATATTTCCATTAAGTCCTTACTAAATGAACCGTTATATTTGTATTAGCTTAGAATGAGACATTTCTATCTGCATACACGGGTCTTACAGGAACGTCACCATGTTGCGCCGTCATGTTTCTACAGTAGCCCAAATGGACAAACTGCTCCACAGAGCGCGTTTCACCGCTACGTTGAATATGTATGAACAGGGCTGGAAATTAACACCCACCAAGCGCCAAATGTGGGTTAGGGATAGGGTAGATTTTCCGTTTGGCGACTAAATGTTGGAAGGCTACCCGCCAATGTGGCGGGTAAACGTATTCGGTACGATATGTGTTTGACGATAGCTAACAGCGGATCAGCGTTGTTTTTTTGTTGTGTGTCGCACTTAAATTGGTCCCCGCTGTACCCAGGGATCTAAAATCGTGTAACACACGGGTTAGGGGCGTTTATTGGTTGTTGTTTATGTTCATTTCAAGATTCTTGTGTTTGATTGGCGTAGATATGTAAGGGGGTCGGGGTTAGGGGGTTGGAGTGTTTTTAGCATTTAGCTAGCTAGCTACCACTGTAACTTGCATACCGGTCAACCCTCCCATTTTCCACGGGCTTCTCCCATATTTTACCATTCTCTCCCGGTGTCCTCCCGTTAAAATATGTCCCCGTAAATCTCCCGGTGGCAGCATGTAGAACAGCTCGGTAACAGTGAAGTCAACGGCACAGCCAATAAAACAAGAAGAACAGCAGCGCAACGGGTTCTTGACGCATAAAATAGAGACGTGCGAACCAGAAAAGTTTACGATGTGCGACTAAAACCTATAACCTAACAGTTATTTTGTGTAGGAATGGTTATTTTTTTGTTCGCACTTAGCATTAATAAATTAGAGACCAATGTAGACGGTTTTTCTTGCACAAAGATTTAATAAATGAAAACAACCTACAATTAATATTCGGCCTATCGTAGTGATGCACTTTATATGAAAGTTTAATGAATATAGTGGGGGGGGCAAAACTGAAGCTGAAGCAGAACATAAAAAATATTAATTAATGAGGAGGTTTACTGTTATGTCTGAAGTACATTTAATAGCAAGAAATTAATTTTGCTTCAAATTTCAATCTGGCGTCCAATGGTGCATTCATGTGGTGTTGGAATAATCAGAATCTTCTTTTCCTCCTTAAATCATTATTGCACAAAGAGAAATAAAGTGTACATTGGACATAAAGAAGTATACAGAACTTTGATTCGTGCAAAATCACGTATTGCATATACATATTTAGCAAACATGTAATGTGTAATCTGGTTAACGGTTAGTCTGCTGTCCATGTAGAGTGAACTAGAAGTCTGCATGTTGTTTATAAGCTCTGATGATGTTAATCCGACACATCTCTGTAGCAGCGTCCATGTTGATTCCACATTCTGACTTCAGAGCACGTGAACACACGCTGAAGTCAGAAGAACGACTCGGGAAATAAGAACCATAAGAGGAGCATGTGAATGCACCGTGAGCCGCTGGTCGCAATTCACCACCCTCACCACTAGATGCCGCTAAAGTAAAGTCGTCATCAAACGTCTTTTAAGGCCATTTCTCTTCTAATATTAACTTTATTTACATACCACATGGTTTACAAAGCAGCTTTAAATGGGATAAAAGTACAGAGAAACACTTTCAATTCACGAGTAAAACACGCAAAAAGACACCAAGTGAAGAAAATACAAACTGTAAAATCACCAGTATCACTAATAAACTGGCGAGGCAGCAAGTTTTATAGTAAAACTACTTTAGGCAGGTTGTTCCAGAGTCCAGATTTCTCAGAGACCTGGTCCCGTCACACATTACAGACACATCTGACCCCAAACAAATCATTAAAGATACAGAAACCACATCTTCAAACTTCCCCTTATACTTACAGTAACCTAAACAAATACAGTCTACAATGCTGATCCATATCGACGACATGATGACGAATCTCATCAAATGCAAATATTCTACATCTCTGCTGCATCACTGGAGACACATTTCCCCCCAGAATTCAGACAGTTTCTGTTTTTTTGAAGAGTTCAAACTTGACACGCAGCTCCACTTCTGTTTCTTCTGTCTCCATTTGCTGATTGATAATTAAATTGAATCGTAATTAAAAAAAGTTCCACTTTATTGGACGTCCTAAGAAGAGCGAACCCCGACCCGACTCCATCCGTCTCAGTCCAGTCCTGAGTCATGGCCCCTGCGGCCGGCTCCAGTGGGGGGATGATGGGTAATATTTCTTCTCCCCCGACTATTTTATCTGCAGCGCGGCCGATCGATGCTCCTGAAGACGCTAAATCATTTGCAGGAGCGGAGCTGCATCAGAGCAGAGAGCATGCTGGGAAAACAGAGGCAGACACGGTGAGGCGGGCAGCAAAGAGTTTCTCTGTTGGAGGATGTCAGACATATCCCATGATCCTCTCTGGTGGCAGCTTCAGACGCAACTTGTCCTCCATGTTGAGGCAGATTTACTCTCTGTGTGATGAAGATGATGCACAGACCTGCAGCCTTCAACCAGATCCTTGTTTGTTATGTGTCGTTTTATTTTTAATATGTGCAACGTGTGAACAGTAACATATGAAGTGTTCTATATTAAGGACTTTTACTTTGTGTTATTGTGTGAGTTTGGTGTTTTAAAGGGTTAAAAACAAACAATAGGTCAAACAATAACACAAACGAAGCAATCGAGGTAGCGGTAGACCAGAGAAGTAAAATTAGTGTTTTTATCAATGGAGTCTGGTGGCTTTGACGAGAGCAATATATATATCGGCTGTTTCCTCTCTGTAGGGATCCTTTCCAGAATGCTGTCAGACACTCGTAATCACAATCTGAGTCTCTCAGCGGCAAAAACGAGCACTTTATTGGATGGACTTTGGCGGGGCACAAGGATTACGTTGCAGCCCTGTTTCACTGCTGCAGACTGCAGCGCGCTCGCTCAATACTGGACCAGTTTCAAGAGCTGTTGTGCACATAAGTCACACAGACAAGAAAACATGTTTTAAACTTCTGTACTTTCATCAAAGAATTCAGGTCTCTGGCCGACTCTGCGGCACAGATTTTGTTCTTTAAGTTAAGAACGTGAAACCTTCCCCTGCTGCTGAATGACCTGTCTGCAGGAGCTCCAGTCTGCCAGTCAGTCTGCTGTGTGTGTGTGTGTTAGACCAGCTGAAACCCAAATCCTGTGGCATCGAGATCAATACAGTACACATTAACACACACTAACACACACACACACACACACGTTATTGAGCTGCTGT